ATCTTAGTTTTCTGAAGGTTGAGCTTTAAGCCAACTTTTTCACTCTCCTCTTTCACTTTCATCAAGAGGCTCTTTAGTTCTTCTTCACTTTCTGTCATAAGGATGGTGTCATCTGCATATCTGAGGTTATTGATATTTTTCCCGGCAATCTTGATTCCAGCTTATGCTTCCTCCAGCCCAGCGTTTCTGATGATGTACTCCACATGTAAGTTAAATAAGCAGGGTGAAAATATACGCCCTTGACATACTCCTTTTCCTATTTGGAACCAGTTCGTTGTTCCATGTCCAGTTCTAACTGTTGCTTCTTGACCTGCGTATAGATTTCTCAAGAGGCAGGTCAGGTGGTCTGGTATGCCCATCTCTTTCAGAATTTTCCACAGTTTATTGTGATCCTTACAGTCAAAGACTTTGCCATAGTCAATAAAACAGAAATAGATGTTTTTCTGGAACTCTCTTGCTTTTTCAATGATCCAGTGGATGTTGGCTTTTTGATCTCTGGTTCCTCTGCTCTTTCTAAAACCAGCTTGAACATCTGGAAGCTCACGGTTCATGTATTGCTGAAGCCTAGCTTGGAGAATATTGAGCATTACTCTACTAGCCTGTGAGATGAGTGCATTTGTGCAGTAGTTTGAGCATTCTTTGGCATTGCCTTTCTTGGGATTGGAATGAAAACTGACCTTTTCCAGTCCTGTGGCCACTGCTGAGTTTTCCACATTTGCTGGCATATTGAATGCAGCACTTTCACAGCATCGTCTTTTAGGATTTGGAATAGCTCAACTGGAATTCCATCACCTCCACTAGCTTTGTTCATAGCGATGCTCCCTAAGGCCCACTTGACTTCACATTCCAGGATGTCTGGCTCTAGGTTAGTGATTACACTATCATTATTATCTGGGTCATGAAGATCTTTTTTGTACAGTTCTTGCGTGTATTTTTGCCACCTCTTCTTAATGTCTTCTGCTTCTGTTAGGTCCATACCATTTCTGTCCTTTATTGAACCCATCTTTGCATGAAATGTTCCCTTGGTATCTCTAATATTCTTGAAGAGATCTCTAATCTTTATCATTCTATTGTTTTCCTCTATTTCTTTGCATTGATCACTGAGGAAGGCTTTCTTTTCTCTCCTTGCTATTCTTTGGAACTCTGCATTCAAGTGGGTATATCTTTCCTTTTTTCCTTTGCTTTTTGCTTCTCTTCTTTTCACAGCTGTTTTTAAGGCCTCCTCAGACAGCCATTTAGGTTTTTTGCATTTCTTTTTCTTGGGGATGGTCTTGATCAACACCCTCTTCCAACAACACAAAAGAAGACTCTACATATAGACATCACCAAATGGCCAACACTGAAATCAGATTGATTATTTTCTTTGCAGCCAGAGATGGAGAAGCTCTGTACAGTCAGCAAAAACAAGACCAGAAGCTGATTGTGGCTCAGGTCATGAACTCCTTATTGCCAAATTCAGACTTAAATTGAAGAAAGTATGGAAAACCACTAGACCATTCAGTTATGACCTCAATCAAATCCCTTATGATTGATTATAAAGTGAAAGTGAGAAATCATTTTAAGGGACTAGATCTGATAGACAGAGTGCCTGATGAACTATGGGCAGAGGTTCGTGCAAACTGGACAACCAAATGCCAAAGTATGAAACTGCAATTCTGTCTTACACATTAGATAAAAGTTAACTCAAAATGAAAAAAAAAAATTAACTCAAGATGGATTAAAGACTTGAGCATTACACCAGAAAACATAGGAGGTAAGCTCCTTGAAGTCAGTCTTGGCAGTGGTTTTAAGGATTAGACAACAAAAGCAAAAATAAACAGTTATATCAATCTAAAGAATTTCTGTCCAGCAAAGGAAATTCAACAATATGAAAAAGAAACCTACTGAATGGGAGAAATGTTTGCAAATCATATCACTGATAAGATATTAATATATAAAATATATAAAGTCTTCATAAACTTAGGAGCAAATAACCCAATTTAGAAATAGAAGATGTGAATAGACATTTTTCCAAGGAAGACATACAACAGTACATGAAAATGTGCTCAATATTCCTATGCAAATCTAAGCCATAACTGTTAGAATGACTGTTATCAAAAAGGTAAAAGGTTCAAAGAAAAGAATCCATGTCCACTGTTGGTGTGAGTATAAATCAGTGCATCCACTATGGAAAACTTTATGGAGATTCTTCAAGAAATTAAAAGTAGAACTACCATATGGTCCAGTGATATCACTTTTGGGAATCTATATCCAATGGGATTAAAATCAGAATCTCAAAGAGATTTTGTACCCTCATGTTCATTACAGCATTATTTGCAAATAGCCAGAACATGGAAACAATCTAAATGTTCATCTGTGGATGAATAGATAAAGAAAACGTGGACAGTTAGGTTGTAGATTTCCCTGTTCTTTTATTTATAAAGTGTAATATTACCCAGGCATAAAAATAAGGCTATCCTGTCATATGGCACAACTTTGATGGATCTTGAGGGCTCTATGCTAAGTGAAATAAGTCAGACAGAGAAAGACCAATACTCTTGTCATCTCACTCGTATGTGGAATCTGTAGAAACCAAAATCATAGAAATAGAGAACAGATGGGGCACTTCCACAGCCTGCAGGGTAGAGACTAGGAGAAATGAGTGGATGAGGTCAAAAGGTACAAGCTTCCAGTTGTAAGATAAATGAGGTCTGGGGATGAAGTGTACAGTATGGTCACTATAGTTAACAATACTGTATTGTATATTTGAAGGTTTCTAAGGGAATAGATTTCACCACAAGAAAATGTTTTCATCACAAGGTTTGTGAAGTAAATAGATGAAGTAAATAGCACACTTCTAAATGACCTCTGGGTATAAAAAGAAATCACAATGAAAAATAGAAGATAATTTGGTTTGAATAGAAGCAGAACCACAATGCAATCCTCATGCATTGCTGATGAGAAAGTAAAGTTCTCCAGTCACATTCCAAGAGGGGTTTCTAATTTCTTAAAAAATGTAGCATGTATCATACAACCTGAAGTCTATTTCCGTCTTAAAGTTAAGCAGGTTCAAGATGTTAGTTCCCTGAATACATACCCTAGTGAAACCTCTCTGAACGGAATGCATAGAGTTGGGTCTTTGTTAGCTGTCCTGTGGGAAACAGAATCCTGTTATTTCCAGGGCCAGTGCACCCACTTTGTGCCTGAAATGATGAATGCCGTGTTTGGCTTTATGTTGACTGCTATGCAGCAGCATTTATTGGTGAGTACTGTTTAAAAGGAGACTGCGAGAGGAAGCTGTCTCATCTCTTCCCTGGTGTAAACACAGTATTCGTCAAGTCCCCCAGGAGCTGAAGTTAAGGCCCTGTGTAAGCACTTGCACTGTAGGAGGCAATCAGGAGAGCATGCGTTTCTTCAGTAGCTGAAATTGTGTGTCACAGTTAAGAGGCTGCCCTAACTTTCAGATAGCCTCATTTAACCAGTTCTGTGTGTCAAAAGATATATCAAGGGATATATATTGGCATTTGTGTTTTCCTGACCAGGAACAAATGAAAGTGCCTGACTTCTTTTCCTTAGGCGTGGCTTGAATTGGAAGAGACCAAAGTCTCCCCCTTGGTAATCCTGTAATATCCATCTGTCCTGACATAAATAAAACCATTTGACTTCCCAGTCTTATTTGTTTTGCAAACATAGCCGTTAGACACTTGCCCTAGCTGCCTCTTGGGTTTAGGTAATTCTGCTGTTTTTCCTTCTGGGCTGAGGAGGATTGGGTGAGGGGAACAACTGTCATGCCTCTTTAGTGTTGTGTATTGTGGAGGCGAGGATTTCCAGGTGAGTGGTGTCCAGATAAATGGTTCGTTATTTGATTTCTATATTGATGAAGATGGTGAAAGCTCCTGTTACAGACAGTGAAGTTTTAGTAACTCACCACACTAGTAGTTTCTTTTTTATTAACTTAAGAGCCAAGTGGGTGTCCTCAGTAGGTGATTTCTTCAAGCGATGCTCCTTTCATCTGGTACCTCTTCGTCCTTATCGTAAAGCTTCTGTATTGCTTCTGTGGCGAAGAGTTTTTTCTGTGGGCTAGACCTAAAAATGACCCACAGACTTTCTGCTCAAATTCCATTGACTAGAACTCAGTCTAGTGGCCACACGTAGCTGCAGTAGAGACTAGAATTACAGTACAGCTATGGGCTCAGGAAAAAAAGAACAAAAGTTTGGTGGTTATCTAGTCAGTTTATGTCATAGTTGCCAAATCCAAACAACAAGGAAAATCAATGTAAGAAATGAGATACTGAGGGTTTAGAGCCAAGAAGATCCAGTTCCAGACCTGTAAGAAAGTAATGTGAATAAGAGGTGAGTAGTAATTCCCTGGGCTCAAGCTAAGTGTTCCAGGAGGTCTCTAATAGAGCTGTGCTGCAGTCCATGGGGTTGCAAAGAGTTGGACAGCACTTAGCAACTGATCAGCAACAAAAATTCTAGGTATGGATTTGTTGGGGGAGCAGTTAAATGAGCCCAGCAGTTAAATGAGCCACAAATACAGGCAGTAATGAATTTCCTTTACTTCTGCCAAATTATTTGCTTTGTATTCATTTTTAACCATAATTTAAAATTTTTGTTATTAAAGTTTTACATAGATTATTTCATAGAATTTGGACAGAAAGGTTTTGAAAAATTTGTGCTCTGTATGTTAAACCAATAATTTAGCATAATAAAATAACTCCTAAATAGTTATTAGAAATTTGAAAATTACAGCTGTCAACATTTACATAATATTTTGTAATTTGTATACCTAACATTTCAGCTTGTGCAGATGTTTCGAGAAGTGTTTAAATAGTAGTCTTGGTAATTTAGAAGGCAGCTATGCTATAAACTGTCATTTATTTTAGAAGATGAAAGTAAGTAAACATAACTACTTCTGTAATTCTGTATCTGCTTATAGATTTTACTACTTACCCTAAAGTCATATGGTTAGAAAATCCAGTGTGTTTAATCGTATTATGTTTTTCCCCCTTTTTCTTCAGAAGAAAAGTTGAAATCATGCATACCCACAGCCTTTTCACTCTTCTTGGAGAAAGGCTGATGTTGCATACAAACACTGTGACTGTCACCACATACAACACACTTTATGAGGTAAAATTTTTTAAATGTGTGATGAGAATTTTAAACGTATGCAGTGGAAACTCTCTATGTGATTGAAGTAGTAGTTGGTCATTTAATCTAAAAAGGTAGTAATTCTTAAAAATTAATGAACACATAGTTACATTTTAAAAAACTTTGTTTTAAAACATATCCATGTACAATTACTTGCCAGTCTTCCTATGTTGTGCCTAGGCCTTTTCTTTGAGTATTTAAGCAACAAAGTGTTTGTTTCAATAAAAATATGAGCGTGAAGACAGGGTTGCTTTTGCCCTATATTTATTATTTTAGTAACAGTAGGTTATTTTTAATTTTCAGTCAGTATCTTTTTGATACACATTTATAGTACACTTAAGTAAATGTTCTATCTTCTTTCTTGTTTTTAAGTCTGAGCAGAAATGTAAGAAAAATGCCACTGCTGGATGTCATGATCTTTTTCTGATCTGTAAGGCCATCCCTGTCTCTTGATTATTTTACTCTCCATCCCCAACTTTTTTAAGTAGCTATGTATAACTAAAGCTCTCAAGTAACTTGTATAGTTTCCTCAAAGTTTTCTATATTACTTTAGGTTGAACTATTTAGAAAGTTTCATTCAAAACTCAGTGTGTGAACCTAAATCATGAAACTAAGTCATAATATAAAGTGATATCATTATTAAATATAATTTCATTGGGTTTTTTAATATATGCAAGAAAAGAGGTAAACACAGGGTATAGCCTAAAATACAGTGAAAATTCATATATCCATAATTTCTATATGATTATTCATTTTTCACTGTGACAAATGTTTATTGACTATGGGCAGTGTGTTAGGCACTTTGCTAATTGCTAGGAATGTAGCAGTGAAAAGGATGCATAGAAATCCTGCACTCATAGAGCTTGGGTGCTAGTAGAAAAGTCAATAAATGTTTTAGAATTCTGTCTTTCCTTTATATGGTCAACATTGGCAATTTCTTCTTACTTAAAAGAAGTTTAACAGGAAAACTCATTGGGGGACTTCCCTGGTGGTCCAGTGGTTAAGAATCGCCTTACAATGCCAGGGACATGGGTTCGATTCCTGGTCCTAGAAGATCCTACATGCCTTGGAGTAACTAAGCCCATGCTCCACAGCTACTGAGCCTACACTCTAGGGCCCATGGGCTGCAACTCCTAAAGTCTGGGCACCTACCTCCCATGCTCTGCAACAAAAGAAGCACTGGAATGAGAAGCCCAGGCACCGCAATGAAGAGTAGCCCCTGCTTACCGCAACTAGAGAAAGCCCACATGCAGCAACAAACACCCAGTGCAGCCAAAGATAAATAAATTAATTAAAACTTAAAAAAAAACTCACTGGTTAATGACAATGAGCCACATTTTTTATAAAGATTTTTTCTTTATTGTTCTTCATTTGAAGTTGGGATCCGGGCTCAGACATTATTTTCTTATTTACTGATTTTCTAAGTTTTTTTTTTTTTTTAATGACAAAATAACAGTCAAATGTTTACAGTCCCCAATTTAAATGTTTTAAAGATGTGCACTGAAAAGTGATTTCAAACAGAATTTGTTCTCGGAATTCCTAATGAATCTTTCCTTCTATAGATACTGGCTTTAGTTTTGTCTGTATCTGTAACAAACAAAATTTGAAGACTGTAGAGTTAAAAGAGTTTAGAAGTATGTGGAATCTACTGGAAGACCCTTTAAAAGATATATTTCTTTTGATTTGAACAAATAGACATTTTTTGCAGATTCTTTGTATATCTATAATTTGCAATTATGAATTTATTTTCTAAATTCAATTCAAATTCTGTCTTTTAGATTTTGACAGAGCAAGTATGTACTCAAGTTGTACACAAACCACATCCAGAGCCAGATTCTACAGTGAAAATTCAGAATCCAAGTAAGCAAAGAGCAATTCTTTAATGCAGTAGTAACATGGTAACATGTGAAACTAAATCAAAACTTTTCCTAACCACCTGAGTCGGTATGGCATTTATAGTTTAACTTACAACATTTACAACTCGCCTACCATCATGCTAAGCATTTAGTTGAAAATCAGTAAATACTATTTGAGCAGAAAATATGATGCAGTTATAAATCTTTACTGTAACTTTTATTTGTTTTCAGTGATTCTTAAAGTGGTGGCAACTTTGTTGAAAAACTCTACACCAAGTGCAGAACTCATGGAAGTCCGTCGTTTATTTTTATCTGATATGATAAAACTTTTCAGTAACAGCCGAGAAAATAGAAGGTGAGTAGTTTGAATGCTATAACAAAGCTTTACCGTATGACTAATCTTATTTTCTCTCCATTATTTTCAGTCGCTTGCAAAGAAAAAAATAACATATCCTATATTGCTAATGCTTTTAATCATTAGAAAAGGCATTTATGTCTCTTTGATATAGTTTGATTACTTTCATTTATTTTTATATAATTTTATTTAACTTTATGGGTAATATATTTTAATTGTATATATGAATATACATACCTCAAACCCCTTACTTAAAATGTACAATTCCTTTTCCTGGTCGTTGTCTACCACCAACAGTACTTTAAATGAAATTATGTTGGATTGGCTCAGATCATCTATGCTTTTCTTAAGGTGGTCTGATAACTGATTATTGTCATGTAGTTTGAAATTGGTTGGCTAGGACATGGGGTGCAGTTTGGAACCGTGGTTGCTGCATGAGTGTTACATTTAACAAATATTGATTGACTGTCTGCCATATATAAAGCACTGTGCTGCACAGGTTGTCTTGGTGTACATCTTATTTGGTATGGTTTAGTGGGAAAGATAACAGTGAAATGATTAATTTATAATATGTTAAGTGCATTGTGAGTGCTACATGTGATGAGGGAGTAGGGAAACAGTAACTAATCTAACTGGAAGAGTTGGGAAAGCAATTTTAAATTATAATATGGATTTATCTAGGTAGAAAAATGGAGAAAGTCATTCCAGGTTAGAATATTAAATGTGCAGAATAACTGTATACCTTGGTTTACCTAAGTCAGATCATATTTCGCTATTTATCTTAAATAGTAAGTTCTAATATAATCTAAGAATTTTTAATGAGTTTCTCCCCCCTCCCCCACCGCCCCCTGACAAGATGCTTATTGCAGTGTTCAGTGTGGCAAGATTGGATGTTTTCTCTTGGCTATATCAATCCTAAAAATTCTGAGGAACAGAAGATCACAGAGATGGTTTACAATATCTTCCGGATTCTTTTGTATCATGCCATAAAATATGAATGGGGAGGCTGGAGAGTCTGGGTGGATACACTCTCAATAGCCCATTCCAAGGTAACAAGGGATTTAACATTTTACATCACCAGGGTTTCAGCTGTGTATTAAATGTCTGTAAACACTCTCTTGGCGCCATCTTGTGGGCATCTTGCATTATGGCTGATTCCTTTATCAATTTTCTTTCTGTTTCTGTTTTTCTCTATATTTTAGGGGTCTTGTTATAATTAAATTTTGCACTCTAGATGTGACCCGCACATATGTTTTATAGGATATCTGGGAACTTATGTCTGAGTCTTTTAACTCAAACATCTGTACTGGGTCTTCTAAGAATGTTTCATGAAATAGAGTATGATATATACTTTTTAAGCCTTTCTCAATTGGAAATTGTTTTTATTTCTAAGTGAATAATAAATAGATTTGAAATACTTAAGTTTAGTATTGTTCTTAATTGCATTATCTTTATTTTTAATCCTAAGAATCAATGTTTGTGTATATTTTAAATATTGTCTGATTTGGGGGAAAGGGAAGTAGTGAATTAAAATTTAGAATATGTACATATTAGAGTACAGAAGTTCAGTTAAGATTTCTCATCATGTGGTGGTGTTACAGGAAAAGCATAGGTGTCAGAAGTTGGCTTTTGATCCGATCTCTGCCACAGTTCAATTTTGTGGCATTCAGTTCAGTTCAGTTGAGTCACTCAGTCGTTTCCGAGTCTTTGCGACCCCATGAATCGCAGCATGCCAGGCCTCCCTGTCCATCACCAACTCCCGGAGTTTACTCAAACTCAAGTCCATTGAGTCGGTGATGCCATCCAGCCATCTCATCCTCTGTCGTCCCCTTCTCCTCCTGCCCCCAAACCCTCGCAGCATCAGGTCTTTTCCAATGAGCCAATCCTTCACATGAGGTGGCAAAAGTACTAGAGTTTCAACTTCAGCATCAGTCCTTCCAAAGAACACCCAGGACTGATCTCCTTTAGGATGGACTGATTGGATCTCCTTGCAGTCCAAGGGACTCTCAAGAGTCTTCTCCAACACCATAGTTCAAAAGCATCAATTTTTCGGCACTCAGCTTTCTTCACAGTCCAACTCTCACATCCATACATGACCGCTGGAAAAACCATAGCCTAGGAAAGTCATTCAATCCCTTTGCACAATGGTTATTAGGCTTTGTTGGCTGTGCATCCTCTGATGCAACTACTCAACTCTGTCATGCATTATGAAAATAGCCATAGACAATATGTAAAGTTTGAACATGGCTGTATTCCAAACAGAAAATAAGCTGATTTGATCCATGGGCCATAATTTGCTAAGCTCTGCTTTGGGGACTTGATTTTTTTTCTGTAAAATTAAGGGGTTTTATATTAAGGTAATCCTCAAAGCAAGATCTCAACCTTAAATTCTATTATACTGTCATTTTAAATATAAATTAATATCATATATGTCTATAGGATTTTAAACATTAAAAATTTTAAAGACCTTTATTTCTGTTATAAATTTATATTGTATAATATTTCAGCACCTCATTTTCATCATTGCATTAATAAGTTTGATATTAGTGTTTTATGGGAAAACTCATTGCAAGTCTTTGTGTGATAAATATATATATCTAGCTACAGTGTGTACTGATTATTCCTAAACAAGACTATATAAAGTAACAAATTAAAGTAGCCTATATAAAGATACAGTGTTTTAACATTTTATGACTATACATTTGTAAATATGTGTTATTTTTTTACCTCACTGGTTGCAGAAGACACACTGTGTTTTAATATACAGTGAATCCTGATGTAGTGATAGTCCTTTGGGCTTCCCTGGTGGCTCAGACAGTAAAGGATCTGCCTGCAGTGAAGGAGACCTGGGTTCGCTCCCTGGGTGGGAAAGATCCCCTGGAGAAGGAAATGGCAAGCCACTCCAGTGTGCTTGCCTGGGAAACCCCATGGACAGGGGACTTCAGTCCATGGGGCTGCAAAGAGTCGGACACGACTGGGTGACTGAAACACACACACACACGCGCGCACGCCATGGTACTTTGGGTATTGTGTATTATTAGCCAACTCTGATTTAGCTCAAATAAATGAAATATGTAGGAGTTCAGCTGGCATATTAACTGGGGTAACATTGAAATACTTCACTTAAAGATACCATTTTATTTAAATCTTTAATGCTAGTTTGTCTGTGTGTTGACAAATCATATAGTAAGTCATATATGACTATTTTGATGATATTCTGATTACTTGATGAAGTTAAGCCTTTGTCTTAGGATTATTAATATATATTTGATACCTTAAAATTACTGATACCATTTTTGCTATTATCATAAGTTTATATCATTTTTTTCTTTTAACATGTACAAAAATGCCTTTAAATGTTTTCTTTACCCATTTCTAAGGTCACTTATGAAGCACATAAGGAATACCTAGCCAAAATGTATGAAGAATATCAGAGACAAGAGGAGGAAAACATTAAAAAGGGAAAGAAGGGAAATGTGAGCACCATATCTGGTCTCTCATCACAGACAACAGGCGCAAAAGGTGGAATGGAAATTCGAGAGATAGAGGACCTTTCACAAAGCCAGAGCCCAGAAAGTGAGACAGATTACCCTGTCAGCACAGACACGAGAGACTTGCTCATGTCAACAAAAGTGCCCGATGACATTCTTGGAAATTCAGATAGACCAGGAAGTGGTGTGCATGTGGAAGTACATGATCTTTTAGTTGACATAAAAGCAGAAAAAGTGGAAGCAACAGAAGTGAAGCTTGATGATATGGATTTATCACCAGAGACTTTAGTAGGTGGAGAGAATGGTGCTCTTGTGGAGGTTGAGTCTTTGTTGGATAATGTATATAGTGCTGCTGTTGAGAAACTCCAGAACAATGTACATGGAAGTGTTGGTATTATTAAAAAAAATGAAGAAAAGGATAATGGTCCGTTGATAACATTAGCAGATGATAAGGATGAACTTCCCAACAGTAGCACATCATTTCTCTTTGATAAAATACCCAAGCAGGAGGAGAAACTCCTTCCTGAACTTTCTAGCAATCACATTATTCCAAATATTCAGGACACTCAAGTACATCTTGGTGTTGGTGATGATCTTGGATTGCTTGCTCACATGACTGGTAGTGTTGACTTGACTTGTACATCGAGTATAATAGAAGAAAAAGAGTTCAAAATCCATACCACTTCAGATGGAATGAGCAGTATTTCTGACAGAGACTTAGCATCATCATCTAAAGGGTTAGAATATGCTGAAATGACCGCTACAACGCTGGAAACGGAATCTTCTGGTAGCAAAATTGTACCAAATGTTGATGCAGGAAGTATAATTTCAGACACTGAGAGATCTGACGATGGCAAAGAGTCAGGAAAGGAAATCCGTAAAATCCAGACCACTGCCACGACGCAAGTAAGTTACCCTTCATGTGCTCAAAATGCATTGAAGACATACGGAGTTGTTAGCACCAAAGCAGAATAGTTTCTTACCAGTCACAGCATGTTTATACTTAATTGTGGTAGAAGAATAATTTATGGAATTGAGTGGTGTGGGTTTACATATAAAATAAGTTCAAAATATCTGAATCATATATCCACCCCTACCACGTTCTGTGTGTATAACTTTGCTCAACCTCTCTGGGCCTGAATTTTCCCTTATGGTGCAAGAGCTTGTGCCAGATTGAAACATGACTTTTAAGGTCTCTACCAGTTTGGATATTTTCTGCCTCTGTGACTACATTTACGCATTTGTACTCAAGATCTTCATTCTGAATACTTGATTAATTTTAACCTTTTAAGTTTCAAGCCCAACCCTGTTCTGTGATTATAGAGAAGAGGACTTGGAGTCCATATTAAACTGATTAATGAAATGAACAGGAAAGGGAAAAGGGAACTGTTATTTATCAAGTGCTTACTATGTTTCGGGCTTCCCTTGTGACTCAGCAGGTAAAGAATTAGCCTACAATGTGGGAGACCTTGTTTGAATCCTGGGTTGGGAAGATCACTTGGAGAAGGGAAAGACTACCCACTCTAGTATTCTGGCCTGGAGAATTCCATGGACTACAGTCGATGGGGTCATAAAGAGTCGTTGGACACAACTGAGCGACTTTCACTTGATTACTGTGTTCCAGGCACTGTGCCATATGTTTTCAGATTTAATCCTCACAGCAACCCTGTGAGGTAGACAACATGGCTGAGAAAATTTGCAGTTATTAGCAGTGAGAGTTTTCCTTATAGACACATGTATGGGGATTTGTATGGGAAAATTAAAGACTCTCAGGCTTGGAAGTGAGGAAGTGTTAGTGCTGCAGTTGGGCCTCACCATACTAAAGCTAGAAACAGATGATGTTTTCTGATATGAATTTTAATTATTGAGCTTTGAGTATATACTTACCACTAAATAATACCTTATGTTTAAGAGTTGAAGAAACTTTTACCCTTAGTGACTTGGTTTTCGTTGCTGTTGCCTGGGTTTTCTATTCACCTTTTAATATCATCAAAGAATAATTTAGCATGTGTCCATTAGCATTATGTTAGAGTAAACTGTACCTCACTAGTGTCTTTGTATTCAAATAAGAATCTTTGAAAATATATTCTGTATATGGAAAAGGTATTTTTATTTATTTCCTATTAAATACTACCAGTTTCCATTTTTGTGGCAGTTGTGCTACCGTGATAATTAGCAGAGAGATGAAAATGCTAAATTAAGCCCAGTTTAAAATAAAGGAAACCATGGTACATTGTTTACTGAACTTAATAATACTAGGTTTGCCTGGTTTTCACTCTGAGTTCGCAGACCTTTGTCTAGTTTTCTAAATTATAAAAGACATTTGTTTTTCTCAATTGAAATATTGTAAGTGAAATACACTTTGAAGTTAACTTGAATCTGTTCAAGTAATGTTTCTTTTAATCTTGTGTTTCTGATTATAGTTAGTTGATGACATATATCCAGTATTTTTCACTTTGAATATTTGCTCACTTTCATAAAGAAGGAATGTGGTCTAATGTAAAAACTGAAAGAGGGCTAAAGAGGACGTGGTTTTCAGCGTGAACTTTGATGATAAACTTAAGTATTGGATTGCCTTGCCTAGTTTCTGAAACATAATAGAATAAAAATAATAATAGTATCCTTTTCTTCTCAGAAAACCTCCTGTGCAAGCAATCACCAGGTGAATGATAAAAGCAGATATAGTAACCTATTAAAGTCATATGCAAAAGCTTTGCTCACTTAACTATACTTAACTGTTTTCATTTTGGAATCAGACATTTCTTTTGCACTATACAAAAGTCCATCTTTTCCATATCTAGGCTGTTCAGGGTCGGTCTATCACACAACAAGACAGAGATCTCCGAGTTGATTTAGGATTTCGAGGAATGCCAATGACAGAGGAACAGCGGCGCCAGTTCAGCCCAGGTCCACGCACTACGATGTTCCGTATTCCTGAGTTTAAATGGTCTCCAATGCACCAGCGACTTCTCACCGATTTGCTATTTGCATTAGAAACAGATGTACATGTTTGGAGGAGGTAGAAATATTTCTTTTCTATAAAAAAGACTACTTTCAGTGGGGAAAAAATGACTATTTTAGATTAGTGGAATCACCTGATTATTAAGTAAATTATATCATTAAAAATCTCACAAATGTATTAAAAAGAACATTGAAGTTTCTGTAGAAACATAAATATTTTCATAAGAGTTATGACCTGGGTGGTTCACATTAAAAACTAATCAAGAATTTAGGCTTAAATTAATTAAAAAGCAAAACTTTGAAATCTGGCATCACCTATTCTATATACAAAAGAGAGTAAAACAAAAAAAGGTTTAATACTGGTTCAGATAAATTTCTACATTTTATCTTTTAATGTTAAAATTAATGTCATATACTACATTTATTCTTGGTAATAAGATCTAACATATAGTGCTAAAATTTTAAAATCACTATGACATCATTTTTAGAGCTTGTACTGTTTAAGTGGTAAGTGGACATCGTTTCAGATATAATCATTTAAAGAAAACAACATAAAAAAGCAGTTCAGTTATGTTTTTCAGTTTAAATAAATTCTAAAAAAGAAAACAAGCCTACATAAATGTTAAAATTACCTTGCCTCACTTCCAATTTTATTTTGTAATAGCACATATGCAGCAAATTAATCAGTTTTGAGATGTCATATGTTCATGCAGATAAATTAGGAAGTGGTTGGCTGTACATAGCAATACCCTACCATCAGCGATTCAAAAAATCAGGGGCACAATATTCACAACACGCAAATAACTTCCTTTGCTTTTCTTGGTCATCTTTCTAAGATTCAAGATGGTTGCTTCGGCTCCCAGGATCAATTCAACCTAAGAGACTTCCCTCAACTAGAAGGCAGGACTGTGCTCCTGCTCTCACCCCACTCTCCTTCCTCTTCTTCCTTGTGTCTTTTTTCCTCCTCCTCTCTCTCCTTTTTCTTCTCCTCCACTTCCTCTTGATTCTGTTCTTCTACTTTTTCGAAGTGAAGCCCCTAATAAAATTCCCTATTGATTGATATCCCATGTGTCAGCTGGATCATACGCTTTCTCTAAGTTGATGACCAGCAGACAGGAATGGGATTATAATGATTGGCCTCCACAAGGCAATACTGCTCACAAGCACAGTAGCTGTGGTGAAACCAATCTTTCCTGTACCTGATGTAGCTCAGCAATAGAACAAAATCTAGATCACATTAGCAGGGAAAAAGAAATAACTTTACAGAAGTAATCAGCATCTGCCATAGACAGTTTTTAGTTCTGATTTTATTTGGTCAATTTGTCCTTAGTCTACTTCCGTGATAGAAGCAATGGTCTTTCCATTACTAATGTTACATGCTAAATTACCTAGGGGGGTGGTAAATAAGGAGGCTGGAATGCCATGAAATGCATTACTATTAACATGAGTATCAATGTGTGGAGAGACGTATAATTTACTACCTGTTATATTTTAGTAGCCGCTGAGTAAGTGATACTCAACTTTCCTTCTCTTAACATACGGTGTGTGTCTTTCTGTGCTTTATTTCATGGACTCTCATTAAATTCCCAGTCATAATTTTGTGTAATTTAACAAATTTTTTAAAAAGTTTAAAAGATAGATAGCACTTTAGTTTTTAGGACATGAGAAGACATCCTGAGATCTTAGATATAATAGATGATGTCTTGCAATTCTAAAAAGGTTAGAATCACTGACTTAAGTTTGACCATGGAGTAGAGTTTTTCCTGTTAGAGAACAGTTCATGTTCCTGACTGACAATCAGACGGAAGCAGTGTGTGTGCTTTTTTGGGAATCTGTATTGTGTGTTTTGTATGGCAAAGCTGCACTGCTGGCTTTTGAGGTCTTTTCCATTTTTTATGCAGTAAGTACTTGAATTTTTACTGACTCATTTATGCTGCCCTATCATGTAACTTCTGTGAATAGCAGTATACTTTTCAATATGTCTGGTCAAAGCTGGAGCTGTGGTCTGGTGATACAACAGTTTGTCAGCTAACTATCCACTTCCTCTGCTTTTCAATACCAAACAACTAGCTTTTGGCAAAAATAAGTGTTTTAGCCAAATTCATTGACCTAGTCCTGTGTCTTTGAATCGAATTAATACTCTGTAGTGTTTTAAGCAGAAACAAAATAATAAGTTAATATGCTTGGACTCACAAAAAATCCATGATGAGATGAATGCTGGTTTTTGTAATATGACATCTAAATTGTTGTAAATTATTTTCTTTTCTAATGACTGCATTTTAAATTTGCCTAGCTCTTATTTTTCACTTTAAAAACGACATTAAAAATAAGTTGTAAACTTTTTATTCTTAAACCAAAGAAGTGTTCATTTGTGTTTTGTCTTTCTGCTATTTTAGCCATTCCACAAAGTCTGTAATGGATTTTGTCAATAGCAATGAAAATATTATTTTTGTACATAACACAATTCACCTCATTTCCCAAATGGTAGACAACATCATCATTGCTTGTGGAGGAATTCTACCTTTGCTCTCTGCTGCTACATCACCAACTGTAAGTACTTTGACTCCATCTAGTGGTTACGTTTTATAATTACATTATCAGAGCATATCAGTGGCGTTCTATACTATAAACATGGATTTTAACAAGACTTGTTCACCTGAGAAAACTTTTTAACCATATAATTTGAAATTACATACATTTATATTCTCACTTCTTAATTGTCAGTGTTGGATTTCAGCTGTGTGTATTTATGAAAATATTTCTCTGATAATTTTGATGAATATACCTTAGGAAGAGCTATAACCATAAATGGTTTAACTTTATTTTCTCTATATTGTTTATCTGTTCAAATCTACATTAAAATAAACTGTTAAAATTCTTGTTCTGTATATCTTGAATTTTGGAATGCAAGTACGTATTTATCATATAACAGAGTCATGAATCTAAATTAGGGAAAAGTCATCTTTAGATATTTAGTCTCATATGATTAGCTTGAAATATTATTTTAAGCTTAATATTATTTTAAGCTATATATAGTAGTTTTATATTTCTGTTCTCTGAGATTTAATCTTGAAGCCAGTAATTTGCTTCAAAAAGAGAATCAGATGAATTCTTAGGGTGTTTCTTACTTAAAATTTAGGTACCTCAAATAGAAAAACTATAAATGTCATAACATTTTCTGTACTTGAAAAATTTGGTACTTCTTAAAGAACTTTATGTTAGTCATATGACATCTTTTAGAATTTTTATCTGATGATTTTGTGGTTCAGGATTTATATTTTAAAAATACAGACTTACTCTTTGTAAGACATCAAAATCTATGAACATAAGTTGAAAGACGTTCAATGTTATTTATATGCCATTTAACATATAGTAGATAAATAACTCAGTGTTTTAGTTGTCATTTAAAAATATATCTTTGAAAAAAAAATATATCTTTGATTCACATTTTGAAAAACAAGCTCCATAGCTAATTGCTCAGATGGGCGAGAATATGCTTCTCATATTAATAACTGTGTTCTGGCCACCATATTGGAAACTCATCCGTAAGCCCGAAATAGATCACTTTTCCAGAAAGAAGCTTGCCATTTTATTAGGATGCTTTTACTTGTTGAGGCAGTGTTTCCAAACTGATCTCTGGTTTTATTTCATCATTAACAAGCTTTTTCTACCTGACTCTTTCTCTCACTCTCCCTTTGTCATCATCCCTGAAGCAGCTCTGAAACTTAAATATTAGCAGCAAAAGAGTGTATACAGCCTCAGCACACTTCTGCCTCACACATATACTTCTCTTTCATCCATAAATTTATTCAAGAGTCTCCAAAGGCAAGGCTAGTTCAGAAGGGAGTGCAGCAGATCAGGTCCTAATTAGGGCCTTCATGAAATTAACCATTGGCTAAGGAAACAGAATCAGGAACAAAAATAGCTGATGGTGTGTGAAGGGTGCAGGTATCCTGTAACATACCATCCCTCTCTTTAATCTCTGATTTCCTCTCGTAACTTATAACAAATTCTGGTAAATTGAGGCTTGCATGTGATGTTAAGAATATATTCTGATATTGAGACAGGAAGAGGTTTTTGTCTCTTCTATCCATTGAAGATTGACTTAATGTTTCATCCTGGGGTTTTTCTCCATCATATACTCTTTTTATGTTTACTATTATCATTGTTATCAGGAAATTTTAAAAAGTTATATTGAAATTTACTTTAAAGTATAATATTGTTTTAAAATCTTCTGAAGAACAGAAGCGTTCTTTATATAAAATTAGCAGTAGATAAGAAAAGTTTTATAGGTTTGAAATATTTATGAGCTTTCTAAACTAGAAGATCTCCATCAAGATAGAGAAAATAATGAATAAAGTGTTAATAAACATTATGAATTAAATAATATACTACCCAGATTTGCTCATTTTTTTAATTTTATAATGAATGTATGATAAAGATACTGATATTTTGACTTCCAGAATTATTACCTGTGCAGTTTTAACTACCATATTCAGAAGTTAAAAACTGCAGTATTTATTTCTTCAGACTGTTTTCAATAGACTTTGGAATTCATTCAATTGTAGAAACTTCTCTTCATTGTCTCTGTCTCAGTGTTTCTGCTATTTTGGCTGATTAACTGATTGCACCTGTGCCTGCTTCTACACCATAGCTAGTTTTATATTCTTTGAATGAATTGCTTCCTTAAAAGAAATATCAAGAACCTTTTCTCCCACTTCCTACTGGGAGAAAACATGGTTGGTGCCAATTTCGAGTAATGTTTTCTGTTCCTTGATTGCCTAATTCTCTTGCTAAAATTTTAATTTAATAGTGGGAAAAAGTGAGCAAGGAGGAGGTTGAATAAAGGAAGAAATTGAAACTAAAGACATGGAGCTTTTTAACTTAGATTTTTAAAGAAATTTTTATTGGAGTGTAGTTCATTTACAATGTTGTGTTAACTTTCTTTAAATTAGATTTAAAATATTAATATAAAAAGCTGAAAGAGAATTCTGGATGGAATAAGTCAAAAAGGAAACACTGGCAATATGCAGGTTACCAAAGGGGGAAGCGTTTTCATGGATGCCTTAGAATTTCAATCCTAGATATATAAAGAGAGATAGAGACACTTGAAACTAATGTTTGAGTGATCTGTAATATTGTTCAGGTTTGTGGAGTTTTTAAAAATACTCATATATTATATACAGATATGTATCTAAGGAATAAGTATGAGTAATGTTGGTATGCAGTGGTTGATAAATATAATAAATACTTTTGGTTTTGAGGGCTGTTTAGTATCTGTCTGACTACTTAAATCTGCTGTTGTTTGCAAAAGCAGACATACGTTATAACACAGAGGAGTATATGTGAATGTGTTTCAATAAAACTTTATATTTGATTTGTGGGTCCTAGGTTGCTGACCACTGACTTACAGCACCATTTTGACCTAAAATACAAACACCATAGTATAATGTCTCAGTGTAAAGCATTAAATTAAAAATTCATTAAAATTTAGTAGTTAGAGTGTAAGATAAATCCAGGTTTCCTATTAAATAAGAGCTTGCATTTGACTTAATGAGCATTTATCAAAGTTAATTTCAACAAATTCACTGAATATTGTGATCATTATGTTTTAGTAGAAGATATGTAACTTTTTCACTTGCAACCAACTAAATGTTTTTAGCATTTGACACATCTAATGTTGAAATTTTATGCAATTTTGAGTGGGTAAGTAGAATGCTAAGTATTCTTTATAAATCACTATTAAAAGCTCAACCCAGGAAGACAGCTTTTCTATTTCTCTATAAGTGTGTATCTCAAATAATTTACTCCTTTTCATCAAAAACAAGCTTGTTTTCCAATAATCAATGAGATTCAGACATGATTTTCTTTTCAGTTAGGATTTAACTGAAGGCATTTGCATTTTAGCATAAGATAAATCTGTATTTTAACCTGGGTTCTACCACTTACTAGATATGATGTCAACTTTAATTTCTTCATTTTAACAGTGCTAATTTTACTTACCCCACAGGAACTTGTGACACTTAAGTTAGGTAATGTCTCTAGATGAAGAAGGCTCTTCCCGAATGTTTCCCTTTTACTTCCTTTTGGAGCTTTTTATTCAGAATTGTATCATGATAGAATGATCTTCCCGTTTACAAAACAAGCCTGTCAAATGTAGAATTCTGAAGTTTAAAATAGGATATTTGAGCCATGTTAGTTATTATGGGGGATCCACTTTGATGGCAAAAAGTAAAATGGTGTGATCTTTTTGTCTGCTGTCTCCATGGCATTGGTATAGAGGTGGTCTATTTTCTGCCCTGGGACCTTATATGAATACCATAACTCATACTAAGGATAGCATTTGTATATTGCTGTTGTAGTGTCGTCACATGGAAAAATTGCAGCTGCTTAATCTTACTTCTAAAGAAATACTTCAGTGGAAACTTTAAGGAAAAAAAGAGTACAGATATACATTATTTGTGTTATACTGACACCTTGAAATTGAAGAATATTGGAGTTTCAGTTTTATCTAGATTATGTAAAATATTATGTAGCATAGAAAATAAGTTACAAAAATAGTTTCAAGTCTTCAAATTAGAACAGTAGTTGAACTTAAATAGTCAGCTAAAAAATTTTAAATTCTTAGTATGTAGCTTGACTAGTCTGGTTTTGGGAAGGAGCATTATTTTTATTTGGGCTTCTCAGGTGGCGCTAGTGACAAAGAACCTGCCAGCCAATGCAGGAGACATAAGAGATGCAGGTTCAATCCCTGGGTTGGGAAGATCCACTGGAGGAGGAAATAGCAACCCACTCCAGTATTCTTGCCTGGAGAGTTCATCCCAAGGACAGAGGAGCCTGGCGGGCTACAGTCCATAGGGTTGCAAAGAGTTGGACACAACTGAAGCAACTTAGCGTACATTATTTTGTTACTCTTCTTGAGATTTTGAAGTTAATGTTTCCATCACTAGTCAGTTGACTTCTCTCACTTATTTTCTACACTTTGTTCCAAGTTGGTCATGAATGAAAGCAAGGAATTGGAGGGAAAAAATGAAGATAAACAAAGAGCGTAAATCAGCTACAAATTGCATAATCACTTCAGGTTGTGGTCAACCATTTTGGTCAAAAATCCAGAATACTGAATGTTTAGAATTTCATTCAGTTTCATTCTCTGTTACAGAAAAATAATAAAGACTGATACGTCTGCCTTTCCTAGTAGTTTTATAATCATAAGAATGAAGAGCAACAATTTCTGGCAAAAAATAAAGATAAGGACTTAGTTTTAGTTTTACCTTTTCTTACCATTATTAGAAAATGTAGCTAATAAATTTGGAAAAACCACTAATAATTTTTTTATTTGTTTTGTTTATCTCATAACACTTGCTGTACTTCCGTATTCTCAGAATGCTTTTAAATGTTCTCCTGTACTCAGACAGCAAAGAATCCACCTGCAGCGAAAGAGACCTGGGTCGATCCCAGAGTCAGGAAGATTCCCTGGAGAAAGGAAAAGCTACCCATTCCAGTATTCTTGCCTGGAGAATCCCATGGACAGAGTAGCCAGGTTGGCTACAGTCCATGTGATCGCAAAGAGTTGGACACAACTGAGTGACTAAGCACAGCACAGCACTCACTCTTTGAAAATAGTGTTTAGAAATATAATGTCAAAAGTCAAAGATTAAGAACAGTTTTGACTTTATCATGAAACTTAATTGTATCTAGTTTTTAAAATATAATTCTTAGTAATACTCTGAAATGTGGTACAAAGTCTCTGTGATTATCTTAGTTCACATGCAGTATTGTTTAGTGTATCAGTAAGTTCTTTTCTAGCAAAGGAGAGTGGTTTTTAAGTTAGAATCACTCAAATATTTTATTGTCTTACTGATTCCTGGAGATTTTGTTCTTTAAGAAGGGCTCCAAATATTTTAGGAAACAAAATAGCATTTTCTAAATTGAAAATTTTAGAAGGTGTTGGTATAGTTTATTTTTCTGTCATTTCTGCTTAAACTGATAGTAAGTTAGGACTTTTACAGAGACATTATGTCAGTTTGTTTATTGAAATGTTTCCTTGGTCATTTTTTAGGAAAAGATATTTATTTTGTAAAATAGAATTTGCATATTTATAATGTATGAACTTTATTTACATATGTATTATTTGGGAAGTTACTCGAATGGAAAAAATAAATAGAAGTCTATTTTATATTTAATCTTAATCATATGTAATTTATAAAATGAATATCTCTTCTGAGTATTTTTGCTTTTAATAAAATAATCAGATATAATTTTTAATATATTATTTTGTGTTTCAATTTTACATTGTATTTTCATTTAATTTTAATGATTTTCTTTTCTTGTACTTTTTTTGGTCTGTTGTCTGTTTTGTCTAATGCATGTCCAGGGTTCTAAGGTTAGTATTACTTTAGTAATTTTTCAGGTTTTCAGTTTTAAATTTTATTTTTGCTTATTTATGAAGTTTTTGACTTGGTTATATTTTGAGTTTCCATACCATCTTTAACATTAGGCATATTTTTGGTATATTTGAAAGATTCACTGGAGGGTTATTTTCTCAATGCATTGATGAATTACTGTTTTATTATTCACACTAATCTTCAGACTAAACTGTCATAATATAATGAAAACAATAATATTTCAGTCATATGTACTTCTAGATTTTAACTGGTGCCACTGAAAGAAAATTGGATAGAATATATATTAAGATTTAATAATAATCATATGTGGATGTTCTTTATTTTTAGACCTATATTATGTTTATATAACATTTCATCATATTTATAAATTGCTTTTAATTAGAATTAATGGGAACTTCCTTTTAGGTTATTAGTTGTGTTAAGAATACTTATTATTTTAAAATTTATTTTGTTTAGTTAAAAATAGCAGTTTGGCAAATTTCATGGATGATTAATAATGCTGTTTATAATGTCTCTATATAATTTATTAATTTAAAATTGAATATTTTGATGTTTGCACTTTATAGACCCCCAAAAGACTTCAAAATAAAATCATTAATTAATAAAATGAGTTAGCTTTCCATAATTTTCCTAATTCAAAATGATGAATTTCTTTGAGAATCCATGTATAGATACCCTAAAATTCTAATATTTTGAAAGTTTTCAGAATGCTTAATAGGCCTAAGCAATGGCCAGATCTTCCATTCCATTGTAAAACACTTATGTTGATAACTGAGATTTTAAAAGGAAGTTTTATATAAAATCATTTTTTGCCTTTATTCTATTATAACAGATTTTTAATTCATGCTATGAAATGATGCTGTATATCAGTGAAGTGCTAGCAAATAATGAATCTTTATTTTTAAAAGCGTCCTAGTAATGAAATTAATTTCTTTAGGCCATAGAAGCTGAATTGGCATAATGTTATAAATCAACAGTTGAAAAAAAATTGTCTATTTCCAAGCTCCTCTTAGAGGGAATGTTTTAACAATATTTTGATGTTAAATGGAAGGGATAAAGGTTGTTCCTTTTTATACTCCATTTATAATCATTTAGTTATATAAGTGCTTGCTCTAGTCAACTATCATTTGTCTTACCCATGTTTTAAGCAAGAAGTGTTGAAGAGGTTGTTTTTTAATGTGTTTCCTGCTGACATTTCCCTGTTAATGTGAGTGGGTATATGTCTGTGTAGAATGATGGGTGTGAATTATGTCAAATGGAGCATTAAATGGAGCAGATACCTATAATACATGCTTACTTTGTAGTTGAATTTATCATTTGGTGAAAAAGTAAAGTTAATCAGTATGGCTAGCTTGCCCATTTTCAGATGATTTAAACAGTAGTATTTTTTTATTTATAAAGTATTCCTTTTCTCTGTTTTTGAGGCACCGAGAAAATGAGGCCTAGTCATAATGAACCAGGAGAAGGCAATGGCAACCCACTCCAGTACTCTTGCCTGGAAAATCCCATGGATGTAGAAGCCTGGTAGGCTGCAGTCCATGGGGTCGCTAATAGTCGGACAGGACTGAGTGGCTTCACTTTCACTTTTCACTTTCATGCATTGGAGAAACAAATGGCAACCCACTCCAGTGTTCTTGCCTGGAGAATCCCAGGGACGGGGGAGCCGGGTGGGCTACCGTCTCTGGGGTCACACAGAGTCGGACACAACTAAAGCGACTTAGCAGCAGCAGCAGCATAATGAACCAAAATAATTAAAATCTTATACAACATACAGTGAAAAATAAAAGAATAAATGTTGCTATTGCTTATAAGATGCAAAGTTACATATCTTACAAAACAGAATACTTTGTACCATTTCCTTTCAAAGCAGAAAATTATATTTTAGCATAGACAGTATTTTAGTGAAAGTACAGCTTTGCCAATCTAAAATGCTACTGATTATTCTTATTGCTAGTGTCACTGATTAATAGTGGTAGAGGAATTAATGATCTTGAGTATTTTTACCCTAGATTTTTGTTACTCATACAAGGTACCTAGTGGTTTCTTATTCATTTATTCTGAAATGGATAAGAAATTGTTATATATTCTAATTGGACAGTTGACAGTTGTCTCCCTTTGATATCAAATGAAAGTGCCATATACCTTTCCTATTATCATACATTCATAAGAAAGAAAAATTAGCATATTTTTATAAATAAGAATGAGGATTTTAGGAAAAATACGAGTTGCATGTCTTTGTTAACAAATTTAAAATAGAACAAAACTAGTATAAATATTTACATTGATTATTTCTAAGTGTCTTTATGAAATCTTAAGTTTGGAATGTGGTTTTTACAAGTAATGATATTTAAATCTAACATTGATTTTAAAAATCAATTTTTTCTTTATTTGAAGATAATTCATAGCTAAGCTAATAAGCTTGATAATCAGCTCTTATACTACATGGAATTACTTTATGATTTATAGCTTATTTTGTTTACAAAATATACTAAATATACTAAACTACTGTTAAGCTGCAGTATGTATGTGCATGTATTATATTTCCAAATTTTAAACAAGATGTAAATCTACTTTCTTAAAGACGGAATTGGAAAATATTGAAGTGACACAAGGCATGTCAGCTGAAACAGCAGTAACTTTCCTCAGCCGATTGATGGCTATGGTTGATGTACTTGTATTTGCCAGCTCTCTAAATTTTAGTGAGATTGAAGCTGAAAAAAACATGTCTTCTGGAGGTTTAATGCGACAGTGCCTAAGGCTAGGTAAGTCTGTTAAGAATAATGGTGCATGTTAAATAATTACCTACAGATTATTTTTTTATATTCTGTGATACATAAAGTATCAGTGATACAATTTGATTATGTAATGTAGAATTACTAAATTTAAAAATATAGTATCATCACATTGGAGATTTCATGGAATAAATCTTTAATGGATTCTAACTTGAAGCTGAAGTTCTAACACTTTGGCCACCTGATGTGAAGAGCTGACTCATTGGAAAAGACCATAATGCTGGGAAAGACTGAAGACAAAAGGAGAAGGGGACGGCAGAGGATTGAGATGGTTAGATAGTATCCTGACTTAATGAACTGTGAATTTGAGCACACTGGGAGAGAGTGAAGGACAGGTGTGCTGCAGTCTATGGGGTTGCAGAGTCAGACACAACTTAGAGACTGAACAACAACGAAATTTGAAATAATGTCGAATATGTTTTGAGCTCTTTCAAAATCAGTAGGGCAGTAGCATTTTTCATTGAAGTGATTTTAATGTAAATCCATTTATGAATTCTTTTCTTTTTCTGTACATGAAAACATAGGCCAGTTATCCTGGGCCTACAAATACGTCAGAAAACCCATAGCATAGTTTTATAAACAGTGCTAAAGGATAAAATTGACTATGCCAGTCTCCCTGTTTTTCAGAATGAACATTTAATACTAGTAGATATTACTATAGCTACGATTTTTTTGTTGCTATCTTGTGTTACAAATAAAATTTAGCCCTGAAAACTCTTAGTAAATTTGACCAATTCCTTAGGCAGTATTCATTCTTACATCTTTTACCTTTTATAAAGGCAAAATTTAATTTTACTGTTTAGTCATACAGGGGACCAGACAACTACTGTTTTCAGACAAAAATGGCTACTGTTTTCATACTTGCCTTAGAGTGTGAACAGGGAGGATATGAGAAAGTAATAAGGCATTAGATAGGATGTTCTTGACATGTATTCTTTTCACCCATTATTTAAAAGGTTATGTAAAAAATCTTCATATGTATAGTTTCAGGGTACAAATTTCTAATCCAAGAAAGAAATAAGAGCTTGATTTAAGAATGGTGGGATAAATCTACTTTTTACTGCCATTTTGTATTTCCTGTGACAAATCATTTCATGTCCTATTAGGAAGAGATTGACCACATGGATAACTTCAGCCAAGAGGTGTAGGATTATTTACAGTGGGCCATATGGACATTTCCATTGGTATTTAATAATAAGCTGACAGATTGAGCTTCATGAGAAAGAGAAATATTTTTTAATGCCTGAATATCTTAAAAACTGCATTTATTTGGTTATTTAGAACTTTTATTTCTGAATATATTCCTAAGTTTTACTGCTGATTTCATTTTTTAAATGGTAATTTTTAGCAGATTTGGTTTTTATCATTCAGAGGGAAGTTTTATAAGTGAGTAGTAATGAGGTAAACAATTATGTATCAATATGTACTGTTTACTTTTCTAAGCACTTTGCATATATCGATCCAGCTAATCCTCAGGGTAGTCCTCTAAGGAAGTCACTGTGTTTGTATTCATTTTACACATGAGGAGACTGAGGCACAGGTAGTTGAAGCAGCTGGCCCAAGATCACACAGCTCATAAGTGGCAAAGCCAGATTCAGGTTTATGGGAACTGATTCCAAAATCTGTACTATTTATTACTATGCTTTGCTGATTCTTATAATAATTAAGTAAATAGAAAGCAAGTACGTAATTATTGAATGTTTGTTGATGATGCTGACTTTGCCACCATGAAAACAAGTTGATATTGGGACTTGTGAGATGCGGCTGTACAGATGTACCTCGTTATTATTGCCTAAAATGGGGAGCCGTGCTCTATGTAGTCACTAAGATAGGCAAATTATGGGCAGATAATTATTATTTTAAAAAATCAAATATGAATACATTTTTAATTAATTTTAATTAAAAATTTAAGAATTTTGAAGGATGGAAGGGGATAGAATAAGGAAGGATATATTGGGAGCCTCAAATATAGTAGTGTTGTTCCTTGAGTTGGTTGATAGTTTATGGTAATTTGTTTTCACTTTTTTAATTACATGAATTTTTTGTATGCTTTTCATTACTGTATTTTCTAATTAACAATATTTATTGATCTGGTTGATTTTATGAACAATAGTGGGATGGTGAAAGTTGAGGGAAAGAAAAAATAGAACCAAGCAACTTTTAAAAATAACATCAGAGTCAGCAATTTATATTAATAATATTCTTTCATTCTTTAAAATAGTTTGCTGTGTTGCTGTGAGAAACTGTTTAGAATGTCGGCAGAGACAGAGAGACAGAGGGAACAAATCTTCCCTTGGAAGCAGTAAACCTCAAGAAGCTGCCCAAGGTGTGACTGCCACAGCAGCTTCCAAGGTAATTAAACATTTTCTGAGTTAAATATAACTCACCTTTTTTATGAGTTTCTGAGCACAAAGTGACAGGAGTCTCCAGTGCTGGCCTCTCTGCTTCCAAGTTGTTGGGCTTCCCTGGTGGCTCAGACGCTAAGGAATTGGCCTGCAGTGCACAGACCTGGTTCAGTCTCTGGATCGGGAAGATCCCTTGGAGAAGGGAATGGCTATCCATTCCAGTATTCTTGCATGGAGAATTCCATGGATAGAGGAGCCTGATGGGCTCCAGTCCATTGAGTCGCAAAGAGTCGGACACAACTGAGCGACTAACACTTTCATTTTTCAAAGGAAGATTTTAGTAGTTTCTAATTCATAGGATTCTTATAAAGGTTATATCAATTCATAGCACTGAAAAGTTCTTAACTATTACTAACTTCAGTAGTTAAATTTTCACCAAGTTCTGTGTATGAATAATGTACTTTGTAAATGGTTATGCTTTGGGGGATAGAATTCCCATGGCATTCAACAAAAGTTATTGAATGCCCATGAAATGAGCATGTATGGTATACAGTGTTTCAGAATGCAGCAGTGATTGTCATTCTAAATTAGCTCTATTTAACATATGTTCATATTTACATATGACCATTTGCATCACTTCCAAAGTTTTAGTAACGATTTTTAGTTCCTATATGTTTTTTGTTGCTTACTTCAGCTACAGCTTGGAATCTCTTACCCTTGCTTTTACTATTTTATTTATGTATTACTATTTTATTTCAGTCACACTGTAGACTTCATACAGTTCATCAGAAGAATTTTTTTTTAACCTTTTAACTTTTACATGGCTTTGCTTTTCTTCAGGTTCCCATCCTTATTTTTCACCCCAGTAAATATGTTCCACTTTTGGCATTAGCTTAAGTTCAACTTTGAGTAAAATGTTTTCTAATACCTTCACTGCCAACTCAGTCTAAAGGAGGTTCCTTTGTTTGACATTTCTGTAAAACTCAGTATCTCTCTTTACCACTCATGGTGCTTGTAATTAGATGTTTTACACTGACCAGTGAAGGTTCAATAAGTGAAGGAATGAAGTAAGAGTTTAACTCATTAAAAAAATTTCTTCGCTTCAAGCTTTTGCAGTTTTCAGTCAGAACAACCACACACTTAGCTTATCTGTTTTATAGCCTCGTACTTTTTCACTACTGTTAGGGACACATTCCTAGAATAATTAAACCATATATTATTTTACTGTTGATGAGTCTCCACAAAGCCCTCCATTGCTTAGAAAATTAAATGCAAACACATTAGCAGTGTTGCTTCTAGTTATTTGTGTAGGCACAGGAGACTGTACGTTACTTGAGAGTGTGTTCATGCCTTTTACATCTTTTCAATTGCAGATTGTGTATAGCGCTGTGATTACTTTATAAAAGAGCACAAACTCTAGAATCAAACAGTTCTGAGTTTGTATCTTGCCTCTACCACTTACTCGTTTTGTGAAATGAAACAAATTTCTTACTCTCGTGTTCCTCAGTTTTCCAGTCTTTAAAGTGGACATATATCTTAATTTATATGGTGTTTGTATGAGTTAAATAAAAAACAGTAATATGTTAAAGTTTTTAGTAATTTGAGAAATGAAGTGAGCATTTAACTAATGCTAATCCTTTCCTCTCTCTAGGAGTTAACCAATCAATATATATGTCATGAAATAAATAAGTTAGTATTTTTGAGTGCTTAGATCTTAAAGGTGACTGTAGTTAATTCAGTATATAATAGGAGCTTTTCAGGCCTGTCAAACCAAGTATTAGGTTGGTGCAAAAGTAATTGTTCAGCAAATCAGTGATCTGCACCAAAAACTGCAACGCCTGCAGCCAGTGTTCGTCAACAAAAAATGCCCAGTTTTTCTCCACAACAACATCCGACTACACATTGCACAACCAACACTTCAAAAGTTGAATGGATTGAACTTCAAAGTTTTGCCTCAGCCACCTTATTCACCTGAATTCTCACCAATCCACTACCACTTCCTCAAGCCTCTTGACAACTTTTTGCAGGGAAAAACGGTTCCACAACCAGCAAGAAGCAGAAAAGTTTTCCAAGAGTTCACTGAATCCTGAAGCATAGATTTTTATGTTACAGGAATAAGCAAAATTTTTATTTCCTGCTGGCAAAATGCGTTGATTGTAATGGTTCCTGTTTTGATTAATAAAGATGTGTTTCAGCCTAGTTATAATGATTTAAAATGCATGGTCTGAACCATAATTACTTGTATACCAACCTAATAGTACACTGATGATAGAATATGGACAGAAAAGCTCAGTGAGCAGGAAATTCATGATATTTGAGCCAGTCTGTCCTTTTAGGAAGAACCTTAGCAATGAAAATTAGATTATAAGTTATGGATATAGAACTAGTAAAGGAAAAGTTGACTTGGTAAGAAAACATGTTTCAAAACAGAGAATCAGTGAACCAAGTTTGTGAGAGTTGTTTCCCCATTTTTATGCATTTTTAATGTGGCACTTGAGTAAGTAAACCATAGTTATAATAATTTCAATGTGTTACGAGCCTGAGTGGACTTGTGTTAGCCACACATTTTCTTTGGGCCTCATTTTTTATATTTTCTAAAAAGGATGTATTAAATAAGATTTTCCTACAAAACACATGTCTAATTAGATTATGGACATAGAAGTACTTTGTAAACTGTAAAGTAGTATGTAAATTAAAATATATGTATTTTTTCAGCTGTGTTGTAAATAGTATATTATTTCTTTAATCATCCTTTGATAAAGATCATTAGCCTATTTAAATTTAAAGCTAAGCTCATCTAAGCTTATAGAGCTGGTAAGTTTTGGAATTGTAATGGAAGTAAAGTAACTATTAACCTTCAAATACTGTACTCGTGTGCTGCAAGAGAATCAAATATTTTAATTTAAGAGTGGAATAGTATAGTTGAGGTTTATAGAAAATAGAAGGAGTCCTGTTTATTATTAAATAGAGTTACTTTTATATGCAGGAGTTGTATTTGATACTTTACATACATTATCTAATTTAATTCACACAATTCTTATGTTTTGTAAGTGAAAAAGTACTTGGCTGAGTTTCAGGGATCTTGGCTGTCTTACGAGTTTGCTATGTGACATGTTACCTAAAATTAGTGGATTTTTGTGTCTTCTGATAGAAAAAGGATTTTAGTGGTAATGATCTTTAATGTCTTTCAGCTTTAATATTAAGGCCTGAGTAAAACATTTTTTGCTTACCTTTTCTGACTTTTTGTGGATCATGGAATGCTTTCACAGATGAAATTTCATATAATAATATAACATAATAATCTCACATATTATGAAAACATGACAGATAAATGAACCTGATGACTTCAAGAGGCTTGTTAACTAGAGGTAGGGAATGTAAAGCTTAGAAAAAGTTAGTAACAAGCTTGAAGTCACACAGGAGAGATTTGAGCCCAGAGTAAGAGTTTAGTCTTTTTTTCTGCCACAGTCCTCCAGCCTTTCTTTATCTATAGCAGTAGCTATGCAGATGAAGAACAAGAACATTAGTAAGTGAAACCAAGGTTAAAAGTAGAAGAGAACAGAAGTGCCCACTTAATAACATTATTGTCAATAAATATTGTTCACTGATGAGAGAAGGTAAAGTGTGTGGCCAGTTCAATTACAAAATTGAAGGTATTATTAATAGAAATTAATATAAATTTCTGTATTATACTATTTTTTCACAATTCTCTCTCTCTTTTTTAAGACTCCACTAGAGAATGTTCCAGGTAACCTTTCTCCAATTAAGGATCCCGATAGGCTTCTTCAGGATGTTGATATCAATCGCCTACGTGCAGTTGTCTTTCGAGATGTGGTGAGTTATGCCTGCTTGATTTCCCAGAAAAAAAAGAACACTTTTCACTGTAATTTGTGTAAAATAATTTAAATTTCATAGGAAACTTGCATTTTAAAACTCAGTGTCCTAGTGTCAGGGATTGTAGGTTTATAATGCACTTCTGTTTGTAAAATGATTGAGCTTAGCTTTCTCTGAAAGCTTACTCATGTTACTTTTTAACGATGTGAAAATTATAGTTAATTTGTATGTATACTAAGAATGGAGATAACTTTGAAGGTTATAGCTGATTTTATCTTAAATAACAATTCCTGTTTTTTAGTACTCCTTGCTCCATTTCTAGGTTCTGAATATTTTTTTATTATCAGTGTTTCTTGTATTATTGGTAAAAGAGATTACTTCATAAAGATATTCTTGGGAATTACTTTTAGGGACAATTACTTTTGAGAGAAGAATCTGCATCTAGAAATAGAGATACCAATGGGAATTTGAGTTAGAAAGTTTGCTTTTTTTTAAAGCGTATTGAAAATATAGCTTAAGGATACAATTCCATAGACCCCTCTGATTATATGATCAATTATTCAAAGTAAGTAAAAATAAGATTGGCCCTTCCACAAATTGTGTAGAAGCATCCATAGCATTTCACAGCAGACTCAATGTTGGTAGTACTTATTATTATAGTTGTTATTTATCAGCAATTTTGGATTCTATTTTTCTTTTTTTAATTGTTGATTTATGAAACATAAACATTTATATTTTAAATTTGCATTTAATAATAACTTGGATAGAGTACTTTGTACTTGAGAAAGTGGTTAAAATATTTAATACATACTACATGGTAGAAATATATAATAGAAAAATTCACATTCTTTTTAATGTATAACAGTTCTTATAAATCACTAAGAAAATTGCAACCATACCAACAGAAAAATAGGCAGTAGATATGAAATATGAAAATAAGGTGATAAAGATATGATTTAAAAGTCAGTGTAACTAGCAGTCGAAGAAATGCAAATTAAACCAGAGTAAGATATTTTTACCAAAAACTAAAAATTTAAAATAATAGTATCTGTCATTACAAAGGTATACTGAAAGTGCTCTATCATTTATCACTGGTAGGAGTAGAAATTGGATAAACTTTTTAAATAGCTTTTTACATTGTGTTAAAGCTCTTACAAATTTGATGCCTATGACCCATTGGTTCTACTCATCATGTGCTTATCAGAGCTGTCCTCAGGAAAATTGGCAACGTCATAAATATCCAACACAGAGTGTAATAAATCACAATATATTCATTTAGCAAGAAGTTATGTAGCTATTAAAATCATATTTTGAAGGAAACTTTGTGACATGTAAAATACTCATGATATATTGTAAGGGAAAGAAGCACTATACAAAAGTACTTAGACTACACAAATAACTGCATTTTTGTGTGTCAAGTATACGTACATGCACATGTTCACCTTCATTTAAAAAAAGGCACCCAAATGCTGCCAGTTTTATCTCTAGGTAAACACTTTTTATTTTGTACTTTTTTAAATTTTCAATTTTTTATAATGAATCTGTATTGCTTTCATAATTAATAAAAGTAAAGTAATTTTTAAAATGGGAGATAAAACGCATTAATAGTGTAAAAATCTTGATGTAAGGATCTGCATAATCTGGACTTAGAAAAAAATACTAACAGTTTAACCATTCAGAAATGGGAATTATATATCCTGAAAAAAAGAATGTGTTGTGGAAGAATTTTTTTTAAATGATAGGTGATTTAAACATGGATCATGTTTTCATCTCCAAGAGATTCACTCAGACCTAACATAGAAGGAATTTATGTTGTGTGACATTGCATTTAAATTTTTAGTAAGTTCTGTATCAGGTTATTATGGTGGATTGTATAATTTTTCTAATATCTATGGATGTTTTGTAACTATTGTATATTGGATAACCCTACAATGGTTCTTATTAGCTTTCTTCCTGAAGGAAGGGAATTAATGTTCAGATGTTCCTTCCAAACATCATTGAGGTAACATAACTTTTGTTCATTCAATTTACACTGTGTATCAGACACATATATATTACCCTCAACATTCAGTAAAAGGTTAAGAGGAAGCTGCTAAGACTAAGAAGTATTAAAATCACACAGCTAGGATGAGGATAGAGTCAGAATCCCAAATTAGGCCATTCCAAAGCATTCTCTCCCTTTTACCACCATATTTCATAAACTCCAAGGAAAACTTTTTTTCTTTTAAATAATCTCCAAAATTTGGAAGTATTTTTTAATTGTTATATTTTAAAGTCAGTTGTAGATATTATAAGATTTCTACTTGACCTTTGAACTGTTCAAGTCACTTTAGATTGCCTTAAGTTCAGAAACATATGAGATTTTAAAATTTAGGTATTTAAGGAAAAGTGATGTATTTAAAAGCTGTCTGTTACCCACAGAGTATGAAACACTAAATTCACAATATTTCAGGACAAATGTAATCTATTTGGGTCGTTTTCTCCATTACCTATACTAATTCTATTTCAGAGTATTAAATCATCTGTAAATATTTCTTGTTTGCTTTTTTTTTCTGACAAATGCACATAAATTTTGAGTCTTGTTCATGTAGTGCTTCAATGAAGTAATGAATGTAAAGTGACTGTTTATGGAATTAATAGACTTTAATGCATGTTTGTTTTCCTTATTTCTGTTTTATCTATGGGCCATGGTAATTACTTGAGGTTTTGGTTTGAAGCATCACTTTTACCTAACTTAGAAAAAAGGCCTAATAACCATCTATTTATGATTCCTTAAATATAGTCTAATCTGAAAATAGTTTTAGAGGTCATTTAACATTTTTTCCCTATAGGATAATTACCTAGGCCGATAGAGCTTTCAATGTTATATGCAGTTCTGCTTCAAAGAAATGAATAACTTATCTCTTTATCCTAACATGGTCAATCTTTTTCAGATTTTTTACCACTTCACTGCTATCCTCTGGAATAACTTCTTCATTTTGTCATTGAGCTTTTGAAATTTGAGCCTCAAATATTGGCTCCCAATTCTGCACTGGAAAAATGAGGTTATTTTTCCAGTACAGAATAGTGGGGCTCTTATTTATTTTTATCTGTTCATGTGTCAAACATTGCATTAGCTTTTTCTGAAGCTGCCATATTGAACTTGTATAAAATTCATGCTTTATGCTCCCTGATTTTTATCTCTCCCTTATTTTACTCATATTTCCTGCTCAGGTAGTGATATGTTAGAATTGTATCTGTATTCCAATAGTAACTTCATTCTGTTATTATTTTTCAGTTATAGTATTTGAAACTCTTGACATTTTTAGCCAGACATTAAATTTTTCTTTTCAAGCTTGTGCTATCTGCATATCTTATAAATATACATCCTCTGATGTTATAGATGTAATAGATACTAGTGAAGAGGACAAATAATAAATTTTGTGGCATATTCAGCAAAATTTTAACATTTTCATTTTTTTAACTTAAATTTCAACCTATAAATCAGATGGTATGTTTCTAGAGTTTTTTTTTTAAATATATACTTCGATAATGCCTACAGTATATGCTTACCAAGTTTTAGCAAAAGTTAAATGTCGTATGTTTTCCTCCATAAAGAAAATAAGACAGGAATAGTTTCTTATACTCTGAGAACTTATACTTAAAATATTCTGAGTGTCAAAACTATCTTTTCATTTTACGCAGGATGATAGCAAGCAGGCACAGTTCTTAGCTCTAGCTGTTGTTTACTTCATTTCGGTTCTGATGGTTTCCAAGTATCGTGACATTTTAGAACCCCAGCGAGAGACTGCAAGAACTGGAAGCCAACCAGGTAGAAACATCAGACAAGAAATAAATTCACCAACAAGTACAGGTACTTAATATTTTTCTAATTATTTGAATTTTCATCATCATTTATCTCCTTTTTATTTAATTTTTACATCTAGATTTAAACTGGTTCTATTCATAATCATCTCAAGTATTTATAAGTAGGCAGTATATAAGTGGCAATTTAATCTTGCTTAATTACACAAAAATGTAGAATGATACTTGCTATATTCTCATTTTATCAGGGTTTTGGCTTAAGTTTTTCTGTTTATTAACATAAAACATCTATGCTGCTACTTAATATACAAATAACTCATATATTTTAAATGTATTATTTTTAACCTTTATAAACATATGAAAGTAGGAGGTCCTTATAGAGTAGTTCAAAATCAACAGTAAACCAAACTATAAATCTTTGTAGCCAAGTTCAGTAGCATCTTTCTTTCTTTCCGTCTCCCTTTCTTTCTTTCAACATGTATAGTTATTTCAGTATCTAAATATTCAGCCAGAGATTTATAATAAACAAGCATACATTCTGAATTTTATACCAAAGTTACATCTACTAAAGTAAAAAATTTCTAGACAGCAGTGAACCATTTGGGTCATGTCTTTCTCATCTATAGAAGATGCTTATGTTGTAAGAGTTCATATATTATCAGCTTTGTTTACTCTGCTTGGAAATGATAAACACATTTTTTGGCAACTCACATTTTAATATCACAGGATGGGTTTAGTCTATTGCATTTCCTGCCAGGTGTTTACATCAGGGTTGTTTCTCTATTGTTTGCAGTGTTGCCTTAGCAGCCCAGGGATTATTTCAGGTACCACTAGATTAGTTTGTAATAGAAATTATCCTTCCTAAATAAATGCATATGATATATACATTAATTGAATATTTTAAAAAATGAGTAGAAATTAGTGGTCAAATCTCTGCATTTTGTTTTCCATAATCATGTCATATCTCATTTACTTTCTGTTTCTGTATGGAAATACAGATTATGTTTAACTTTAATTCTTTTTTGTTGCATGCTGTATTTATTTTGAGTACATAAATGTGGTATTTCTTTGTAGTATAATATTACTTTTAACTTTTTACTTGACAAATGTTATCCTAACATTCCAGTTTCTTTCTTTTAACCATTTGAAACACAAAGACTCTATATGTTAACCAACTGTCTCTTCATTTATAATGCATTCAGTCATATATGTATAAAGCAAGCAATATTTTAGTGAACCTTCCAGTTCTGATTTTCTTGTGTGTTTGTATGTCTCTGTGTTTGTTGCTAAAATGACTCTACTTAACAAGTATGTTATTTCCTTTCTCTTAATACATAACTTCTTTCCTTCCTCCAGAGACACGGTCTTTATTGCTAGTACTGTTTGCATGTTGCAGTGATATAGAATTGTCTTGGATCTTCAGTGGACCATGTTGCAGGTTGTTACATGCTGGCTCAAATTTGATTCCATGATTTTCTCCACAGTTGTGGTCATACCATCTATCCCTCATCCAAGTTTGAACCATGGATTCCTTGCCAAGTTAATTCCTGAGCAGAGCTTTGCCCACTCATTTTACAAAGGTAATATTGACCTCATCTCCTGACCTGTTTGGGTATTCTTAAATTTCATCAATTGTTATACAATAACCATCCATTAATGTAGTTGTTTATAAACACCTCAGCATACGGCTCAGGTTTCATGGAGATATAATACATTGTATTTGTACCTGGCTATGGTAAAGCGTCTGCTTGCAGTGTGGGAGATTCGATCCCGTGCAGGTTCGATCCCCAGGTCGGGAAGATTCCCCTGGAGAAGGAATTGGCAACCCACTCCAGTATTCTTGCCTGGAGAATCCCATGGATGCAGGAGCCTGGTAGGCCACAGTCCACAGGGTTGCAAAGAGTCAGACATGACTGAGCAACTTCACTTTCACTTTCACTTATTGAGAGCAAAATATAGTTTTTATATTTGTATTCCATTGTATTTCTTCAAGTATCATCTTCAAACTAAGGCTGCCTAATTATATGGATAATAAGATGCATGGTGGTGGCATGCAGAAGAGATCACAGAAAAGTCCCACCTTGTTAGTGGGACCAAATTAGCTCTAAAATGAAGGCTACCATAGAATGACAAGTAAAAAGATTTTAAACAAGCCTCAAAAGCATCACAGTGATCTATAATTATTTAATTTTCTGTCAGAACAAAATTCCAACCCTTTTCAAAGGAATACAAAAAATTCTCCAAGCAATGCAATTATTCAACATTAAGCATTCAATAAAAATTGTTAAGTGTGCAAAGAAAAAAAATGTGATACATAAGCTGGAAACAAAAAAATCAACCGAAGCAGATTCAGAAGGGATACATACATATTGCAGAGTTGTCAGATCAGGGCATTCAAACAGCTATTGTAAGTATGTCCAAGATGTTTTTCAATATGAAGGAAAAAATTAATACAGAGAAAAATGAAAGCATTTTTAAAGAACCAATTGAAAGTTTCAGAGATGAAAAATAAAACAGCCAGAATGATGCCTCTGGTTAAGAGTAACATGAGATTATTCTGTGAAGAACAAAGGTGAGCCAAACTCTGCCCCCACCCCCTGACCCAGGATTTTCCTGTGTGCACACGCTACATAGTTCCTGGGACAGTGAATATGATGGGTTTTATTCTTGTGACTAGGTTATGTAATATATGTTAGCACAGTTGCTTTTAAGAAAAGGTAATTATACAGATGGCTCAAGTAACCTAATCACACTAGCCCTGTAAAGGTGGAGAGTTTTCTCTGGCTTGTTTAGAACAGGATGTGAGAGCACCTCAGTGTGAAAGGGATATGACATAAAGAAAGTTCTTTGTTGCTGAGATGGAAGTGACCATACAGCAAAGACCTGAGATTGCCTTGTAGAAGCTGAGAGTACCTCTCGGCTAACAGTCAGCAAGAAAGTGGGGGACTTAAGCCTACAAACATCAACAGACTGAATTCTGCCAATAACAGGAGTAATTTTAGAGAAGGTACCTGAACTCCAGATGATCACCAATGTCTTCATCCATCAGCTAATGATATGGAAGACCAACTCATAGAACAAATAAAGCAGCAAAGTGTTTATTATAATTTGAATGCACTGATTTTTTTTAATAAATCTGCAAATTTGAACACAATGATAATATAAAGGAAAAAAATTCTTTTCAGCTTTTAGCACTTACAAAAAGTATCTAACTCTGAGTTGTATAAACTAAGAAGGATTAGATTAGATTAGATCAGATTGTTGTCTGGAGTTTGTTTTGTGTAGAAGTCTGTTCTAAAAGGTTAACTGCAGTGACTGGAATAAACTCTGGAGTAGCTAACCAGATTCAGAAGCCTGCATCAGAATATCTATGCAGTGCGTTTTTTATCTAGAAAGGTTTGCTATGAAACAATTTTAGCTGAAATGTACAAAGGTCTTAAGGGTATTTTAAAATTTTGATTACTTTAAGGTTGATGTGGTGAATTTCCTCTTCTCTTTATTATGTGATAATATGGAAGGTGATCATAAATGACTATTACTGCATGCTGTCATGCAGTGGTTATTAAGAAGAAAAGTTCTATTGATGATGTTGGAAATGAAAAGTCAATTCATAGTATTTTTGCAGGATAAGAAAACAGTTTCATTCCAGTTGTAAATATGTAATAGGACTGGCTTCTTTGTCAGACATATAATATTTGTTAAATGAACTCAGTACATCGAAGCAGGAGAGATTGCAGCATGTATCAGAATAGATTAAAGGACAAAAATAAAAGTTATAATTTTGGTAGTATGCAGTTTCTACATTTTCCATAGTTTAATAATAATTATTTTAATAACATTATTTTATATTTGATAGTTACTACCAGTAAAGTATCTCAATCTTTAAGAGTGATCTTAATTTTGCTCATCTTGAAAAGTTATCTCCTATTATTTTATGTTTTTGATAGAATGTCTTGTATTTTTCATTAAAAGAAGATTCATAATTAAGAAATTTATGAAAATGGAATCTTTAATTGAGCTATATTTATGCTTGATTATAACTATATGATATAAATCATTGGAATTGAATGTTGATAAACATTGAGGATATATTTTGAAGATACAATATTTCTAGCTTCATTTTGGATAAAAGTTGTAAAAGAGATACATGTTCTAAGCTCTCAGAATTCTCATTCTGTCAACATACTTCTATAAAATAGCTTTCTCTATACTGCATGTTATTAAAACAAAAATAGGCAAGTTATATGTTATTCCCATGAGTACTAATATTTGCCATTTCTACTTAGATAAGTTCACAAGCAAAATGTCCATCACACTATTAACTTTAAGTACTTATATTCCCAATATTTGTTCAAAATGTTTCTGGAGACATTTTTTGGGGGGAATCACTCTTTGCTTAAAACTTTTTGTTTATTTATTTTGTGTACTGAAAAGGTTACAAGTATAATGACATTTGTCTAGATTGATCACCTATGCACACACTCTTGGTGAACAACATGGATAATTTTTATATTTTTTTGCCATTGTTACCTTCATTCTGATTATATTTTATCAAAATTTAAATTTATGTCTATGGAGTCAAATAATACAAGCTATGGTGCTTTATTTTCTGTTTTGAGAAGACTGATCTGGACTATTCTTCAGCTCCTTCACATTTCACTCCCTTTTTTCTCCTCATGATTAAGCCTTTTAGAAAATTGTGAACTAGTTCTTTGGCCTCTCTCTTCTTCATCTTTGATAGTTCTTCAGTTCAAAGCCATAGCTTTGAATACAATACTTTTTTGAGTATTATATAGTCTCATCATTGGACTTGTCTCTAGTCTGTTACTGATGACAAAATCTTAAGTAACACTATTATATAAAATAATAAAATAATGTAATGAAATATAATTTATATTTAATATAATATATTCATATAATAAATATTTTCTAATAGAGCCAATGTCATGATTTTTCTTTCTAAATATTTCTAATAAATTTCTATAGTTTTGTGAACAAAGTTAAAATGTTTTAATTGTGGCAAGAGTACTCTGGTTCTGACTTCCCTGGATTACTACAATCATCTCTTAAGTGGTTTTCTTACCTCTTGTCTTTTTTTTTTTCCATTTATTTTTATTAGTTGGAGTGGTTTTACAATATTGTAGTGGTTTTTGCCATACATTGACATGAATCAGCCATGGATTTACATGTGTTCCCCATTCCGATCCCCCCTCCCGCTTCCCTCTCCATCCCATCCCTTTGGGTCTTCCCAGCGCACCAGCCCTGAGCACTTACCTCATGCATCCAACCTGGGCTGGTGATCTGTTTCACCATTGATAGTATACTTGTTTCAATGCTGTTCTCTCTGAACATTCCACCCTCGCCTTCTCCCACTGAGTCTAAAAGTCTGTTCTGTACATCTGTGTCTCTTTTCCTGTTTTGTATAAAGGGTTATCGTCACCATCTTTCTAAATTTCATATATATGTGTTAGTATACTGTAATGGTCTTTATCTTTCTGGCTTACTTCGCTCTGTATAATGGGCTCCAGTTTCATCCATCTCATTAGAACTGATTCAAATGAATTCTTTTTAATGGCTGAGTAATATTCCATGGTGTTTATGTACCACAGCTTCCTTATCCATTCATCTGCTGTTGGGGATCTAGGTTGCTTCCATGTCCTGGCTACCTCTTGTCTTTTTAATCTTTGTTCTTTTTTTATAGTTTTGCTGAAGTTCATTTTGAAATATAAATGAGGTTATGTCTCTTTTTAACATAAAACATTTCTCATAACGTTTAGAGTAAAGTATCACAACGTTCCTAACTTCATTTTATGTGGCTCTTGCATTTGCTCACCATGCCACAGTCAAACTCACTTTTAGCTCTTTGATTATGCCCAGCACTTCCCTGCCTCGCGATCTTTTTTGTTTGTTGTTCCTAGGTTTGGCTCTCTTCCCTGTATTTCCTGTGACTGGGGAGTACTCATTCTTCAGGTGTCTGGCTAAAGGTCATCGCCTCCTCACAGAAGCTTTACCTGCTACCATAGCAAAGTAGCTTCCACCCACAATAACCTTATTTTCTATCATAGCATCATCTTTATTTCCCTTCTTGAATTTATACAGTTTATTTATTTGTTTAATTGTCTATTAGAATGTGTGCTTAAAGAAGGTAATCCCTAATCCTAGCATGACGCTTGGAAGTTAATACAGTAAATATTTATTAAGTAAATGTGTAAGCCAGTGAGAATGCTGAACAGTTCTTTTTAAAGTTGAATACTGATGGTAGACATAAAATGTATTTAATTAATAAACACTAAAAACAGAAAATAAATTTTTATTAATGACATGTCCTAGTTGTGAAAGAAGTTTTATGTTAATTATTTCCCATCAGGTTTAAAAAAATATTAATATTTAAGTGAACTTAAACATAAATACATTGTATAGTTTTCCTCTAATAATTTATTGTCAGGGAAAAGAATTATCTTATAATTCTTTTTAATAATTAGAGTATTGTGCTACTTGTATAAGGATAGATATATGGCAAAAAGAGTTGACAAACAGGCTGGAATTTGTATGAGTATCTCATATATGACAAATATAACTT